CAACCTTCAACCTGGGTTTCGAACTGATGATTATAGTGATCTAAGCACAACCACCGCTTAGACGCTTTAGGCGTAATCACCGCCCGAAACGTCAGACCTCCAGGAGGCGTCTTCCAGTGAACGCCTCTGCTTCCTTTGGTAATCATATCTACTAAAGCGCATTGCGAGTTTTCTAGCCATACGATTTCAACTACACAGCACCATTACCGTCGTGCAAAAAGCGCAGTCTGTGTGCACACTGGATGCACTGCTCGCATGACCTTGAACAGAACGCGCCTACGTGTCTATTCGCCGTCAATGATTAGGAAACAGTGACGCGCCGCCAGACTGCCGTGGCAATCTTGTGCCGTCTACCGCTGTACTGGGTATCAAAATTCTGATTGGCGGACTCAAGGTCACCATATCAAGCAATAAATTTCGCTTTTTCATTGATTCTTCCCTGCGGGCTGTAGCTATTACTGACAGTCGAAGGTCGCGTTAGTGAATTTTCGAACTGATTTCTGTAACTATAAATGGAGACCAGTTAAGCAGTGTTGGAAAACAATTATTTTGCACATAGTTTGTTTGCAAAGCTGTTTAAAAAGGACGTAGCCCAAACTCTGGCTCGGGGTGTAGAATACCCAGTTTACCTGACGATGCAATCTCAGTAGTCAGGCGAATGCGTGGCGGTTTCCGCAGTCAGTAAATAATACTGGGAAGTGGAAACAAAAATATTGGAGTTTCAGTCACATACGCACAGATAAACAGTTCCCAGTTTTACCTACATTTTCATAGAAAAGTGGAGACTATGTCTTGTTGGATGGTTGGCAACCTTGACAGTTTTAGTAGGAGGTTTGGTAGATTTGCTTAATTTGAGTTGACCCAATTGTGAAAAAAACTCGAGGCGTTAGACGGGATTTGAACCTGCATAGTAGAGAATACCTTTACCTCCTAATAATTAAGTCAGCCTAGTAATCATTCTGGTGGATTCTAGGTGATTGCTTACGAAATCCACCTTGGGCAGTCTGCTTGCTGTTCCGTATTGGTGGATTCCACATGAGCGGTAAAGCTAGGCGGGTGAAATCGACACAAGTGTAAATAAATTCATGGCATGACGTGGGGCGTTTGTAGCTCAAGTGGTTGGAGCGTTGGCTTTCGGTAAAGGCCTTCTCTACTATGCGGATTCAAATCCCGCCGAACGTCTCGGGTTTTTCACAATTAGGTCAACTCGAATTGACAGTTTTACTTTGAACGCCTGCTTCAATCTCTGTCACTTAAAAGCAGACGGCATGCTCGTTAGCCCCTGGTAAAACAAAGGAAAGTTAGGGTACATGGTACAACGAAGGGGTCAGTATTAAGCCAGTGTGGTAGAGCGAATTCTAGTCCACACGACCTGAATTGAACTACGACCAGATTCAAACAGGAAGTAGACGGATGAGAGACTGGAACGCTGAACTGAGGGCTGTATGTTACTTAACGTTGTTCAACAATAGCATCGAATAAAAGAAAGCATTTGTGTGATCATTCGTGTCATCGAAATGAATATTCATAAATTTCGTCGACCTGCCTGTCAGTAAATAGGTCTGGCATACAAAAAAAGTTTTTCATCCGTCCCCATTCAGCGATTGGTCCTCCGATTCCGTTTCTACATGTCTAGTTAACGCGGTTTTTATAAAGTAGAAAAAGTTAACAGTCATAGGTTCTTCATGGTCAATTTAGCTATGAATACTGTTGGACTCAGAAGTGAATGCACTCAAAGGTCTTAAACGCTTTTGTTTGCATTCCATTTAGGCCCTGTTTAACGCCTCAGGCATAGATGATGATGACTACAAATTCGGTGTGTCAAAGGTATTCTTCCGTGCCGGGAAGTTTGCCGAATTTGACGATCTGCTGCGAATGGATCCCGAACATCTGACACAGTTGGTTCAGCGGGTGCGCGTCTGGATCCAGCACTACAGATGGCGAAAAGTGATCTATGGAGCCCTCTGTGTAATAAAACGTAAGGTTTAGTTTTTTTTTAACTTAGCATTGTGTGTCTGCAGTTTGCCCAAAAATACTGAGTCTCTTTAGGAACCTTGGCGGAAGTTTACTTTTCATCCCCAAAAGTGTTTCAATAATTTAATGTTTGGCAAAAAATACGTGCGCCATAAATAAAAAGCAATAGTTTATTTGGTTTAATTTATTTTATTGTTCTGTTTACTTTTAGCTTTTTTTAGTAAAGTTAGTCTACTTAATTGTCGTTTACCTTTGCTTACTTAGTTCAGTTCAGTTCAGTTTCATTAGGGAAATATAGGTAAATACCTTTGAACT